ATTGGAATAAAAATATACACACCCAAGTAGGTATTGTGCTTGGCGTTGGGGTTACTATTCCTAGTATAACAAGAAAAATACGAACTTTTATCATTCTCCGGCGAGGGAAGCGAGGCGGCAACAATCATTCATTCTAAACAGAATCAACGCTGAGCGAAGCGAGGCGGGTTACACTTCATCTCGGCCAAAACCTGCATAAATAGCTACGCTTGGCTTTGTTCTGGAAGCTCATGATATACTCTCTGGCGTCGGTGCATCTTCTGCGCCTGCTTCGCAGCCGCAGCATCTGCTTACTGTTTCAGTGTTGTTTGCTAACAGCAATTCGAACTGCCCTGCGGAGCGGAACAATGTTAGTGACGAGGAAACGAGGAGATAGAACACTTGAGCAGTAGGAGTCCGATTGGAAAGTGATTCATTCATCTGTGCTTGCACGTACTACTCAGTATAGTACGGGGAGGAGAGTGCACGGACAGTAAAACCCCTTTGTAACCTCTGACTGATGGCCAACAAGCCGCTTCATCCCATCAATCGACAGTCTAGAGATCTTGAGTTCGTAGTTCAAGGAGAGTCCTCCAGATTCCTCATATTCACGAATGGTGCCCGAGTTCAAAATGAATGTGTACATCCATTATTTCTGCAGGTCACAAATGCTTTGTTTCATATAGAGTATTAGTTCTAACCTGCTCAAAAACATGCTATGTACCAGTAAACACCCTGATGTTAGGTACATGTGCTCCACGCATCAATGTACAGTCATTAGTCATGAGAACACGGTAAATGTAAGGCATTCCCCATTCGCAGACACAGCCAGCGATTGAACTGTGGTGATTGACGGCATCCCCGGGTACACCAAATATCGGATAAAACACGAATGTTACACGAAAGTTGCGATTAATTCTAACAGGTACTTAATTGAAATCTTCTCCGGATGGGTCAACCTTCGCAGATAATATAAATATCAAACAGGTTACTGTATAAAACAAGCCAATAAATTGAGAACGAGGATGTATCTATATCGTGTTGAGACTACGTATTAATAATCAAAGGATTACAGCGTCGTTACAATCCCGGGTAGGACTCTGGGTATAAAATCCAGAGAACTCGAATAGTATAAATTCTCACCACCTGCAGAGGAATCGACAATATTCAAGTGTGTAAATAGTTTCGACGTAGAATGTATCAAACACTTCTTACTTAACGTTGCAGAGAACTGAAGATGCATCGTTGATGACAGCATTGCAACAGATTGAACAGATTTATCTGTCATCGGGACTTCAATCGGTTCAATTGTGGGGGAGGTGAAGAATCAACAGGACTAAAGTGACAAGCTGAACGACGAACAGCTATCATCGGCTCTGTAAAAACTGCAAGTGCTGTAAAATACGCACTAGTTGTCAGGTATTAATCTACCTGGTTGACAGATGAGGGGGGTTTGTTATGTACGATCTGCTGGTACAAGCTGACAAGCTTCTAGACGTTGCCTGGACGCATTTAAGAGTGTCGTCGAGGTTACGCAGATTGACGATAGTGCAGCGTGCACTTCGCGGATGCGCACATAGAGAAGGAAGCTCATAACTTCACTGAAGGGATCCCGAAAAAACAATCCTCATGAAGTTGCATTTGAATATCTAATTTATGATTAATTCACAAGCCATATCGACCGTAATCGCAGATTTAGGTGTATTCACAACTCCCATACGTATTTCCTGAGCCATGTTTCTTGTGGATACCATAAAGTATCCGGTGTTGGCTGTGCGAGTATTGTGGTGTAGCGATTTCTAAGTAATCGCTGAAGTGGCTACATTCAAGTTGCTCAAGCCACGAACGCTCGGTCATGCGACAAGTGGTGACTACGGTGCA